GGGGGAGTGTAGGTGAGGGAGATGATGGGCTGTGTGGGGGGGATCTGGACAGGCTAGTAAGAAGCTGAGTGATGCAAAGCTTGCGAAAGATTTTCAAGCGGTTCTGAAGGAGTTCCAGAAGGCACAGAGGACTGCTGCGGAGAGGGAAACTGCCTTTACTCCATTGGCCTCTCGTCCTGCAGCTTCCAAGCCTGGTGCAGACAGGTATGAAGCCTTTAATCTCCCTCCCTCCCATCGATTGCGGCTATGCTACTCTTCTGCTTTTTGATGTCATGCTTTCGTCCCTCTTTCCCAACCACTCCACATGCAGTTGCATGCATTGCACGTTTTGCAATTCTCTTCTACTGCCAAGCGTTGATGTCCAATTTTGTCCCCTGGAGCAGGCGGGTCAAGAAACCCGAGCATGCATGCTTTTTTCTTCCCGGTAGGCCATTGAATAGGCATTGTTTACGCAACTTTACAGTGATTATATTAAAGGACTCTGATACAACCACGTCTTTTTTTTTTTTTTTTTTTTTTTTTTTTTTGGAAAGGGTGATGGCTCTGTGATATCGCCGAACTGACCGCGCCCAGGCAATTCACAATTATTTCATATCATTCAACCAGTCATTTGGATTCAAACTCAGGTCTGTCTTTCAACAGTTTTATGGGTGTACCAACTGAGCTATAAGCCAATTAGTCGTCGCAACCACGTCTGTTCAATTTGGACACGATCACAATCGGAACAGTCTCCATCTCCGTTTCAATCTGAGTCTCCATGGTGAGATTGTCTATCGTCTCTTCATCTCGTCACGGGTAGATATGCTGTGTCGATATTCTGTGCATGTTGCAGGAGCTCACCTTGGTACTGTACTTGGAAAGAGATTCACAACACTGCACACAATTTGGCGCTTGCGGAATTGCCTCCTATGCTTTTCTTCATTGATTGCGTGAAGATGGTGGATGAAGTCACCTTATCCATCCATACTTGTGTTTTGTTGTTTTAGGGTGAACGCTTGTCGCCATGTTGCGGCGATCTTTCGCGCATTGGCCATGGGCCGCTGGNTGTTTTAGGGTGAACGCTTGTCGCCATGTTGCGGCGATCTTTCGCGCATTGGCCATGGGCCGCTGGATGGTAAATCTGATCCACCAGATTTGTGTTTTCTTAGAGGTTGTGAGAAAGGAACAGCAGGAAAAAAAAAAAAAAAAAAAAAAAAAAAGGACAGCGAAAAGGGACAAGAAAGAACCTGATGGTTGGAATTTGGCGCTCCTTATTTTGTCTTCTGCCATTGTTGTCTGCCTTCCTGTGCTTAGACCCACTGCCAATGGAACTGCGACGCTGTCAAGTGCGGAGGAGAATCAAGCGCGTCATGGATTGATTGCAGAACAGAGAAGGTCAGTGCAGTCTAGTCTTTGTTTCTTGCAATAACACTGCTGTATTTTTTTGGTCAGCCGATTGCTATTTTTTGTTCTAGCTTCGATGAATACGTCAGTGTCATTGTCCTCGTGCCGGAGGTATAAATGTTGGAGTCCGCAGGGAAGAGTTTTTGCAATTTTTTGATGATCGGCCTTGGAATACTGTTCTGTGTGACCAGTCCTTTTCCTGTTCAGTGCCTATGAGAAAGAGATGCGTACATGTAAATATTTGATAAACAAGGGATACGACAAGGTTAGGGCTACACCCCTGTCGACAAATACTGATAAGAACTTTGTTTGATTTTCAAAGGAAGTAGATTTGTTGCCTGTGGAGATCATCGGAAGAGGGCTTCGCCTGTGCAAACTAGTAATCTAGCCGGTGGGCGGCAACGTAGTCGGTGGGTGGGATTTTTTTTTTTCTTCCCCCAAAGGAAGTAGATTTGTTTCCTGTGGAGATCGTCGGAAGAAGGCTGTTTCCTGTGCAAACTAGTAATCTAGTAGGTGGGTGGGATTTGTGTTCTGTTGTATGGCCAGTGCAGGCAGGAGTTGGTGCAGCTTGACACTGAACTCACTTTCAACGAAGCGGTGATCGAGGAGAGGGACCAAGGAATACGTGAGATTCAACATCAAATCGTCGAGGTCAATGAAATCTTCAAGGATTTGGCAGTGCTCGTGCATGAGCAAGGGCAAATGATTGGTAAATATCGCTGAATCTGCTGTTGGATGTCGAAGTAACTTGCACATGATTGCTCACATTCACCAATGATCCCCCCACTCCTCTCCACGCCTCTCGCATTTTTCTCCTAAAGCCTCCAGCGTGTTGCACTGCCGACTGTCCCAGCGGGTTTCTAACTGGTAGGCTCTGGTTTGCCTATGCGTGCTCCACAAGGTTGGTCACAATCAAACTGGGCCCAATACTGCCCGAGTTCCGTGGGAGAGGGGAAAAAGGTACCTGTCATGATCGTCATCATTGTTATCATTAGCAATTTGCTTCTTCTTCTTCCTCCTCTTACTGTCTTCTTCTTCTTCGACCAACCTCAATTATTGTAATCGCTATCATAATCATTATCACCAACTCGCCTATGCACCCTCAGCTGCGGCCCAGGGGTGCGGGGGGATGGGACGACCTAACACCAAAGATTGGAGGGTACAAAGAAAAGCACCGGGCTCGCGACAGCAGTGCACGCCAGAGGGGTTTTCCCCTCGCTTGAGGGCTTGTGGACCGCAGGGGACCTCCCCAAGGTCTCCTGCGGGCACAGCAGCACCTGGGCAGGGGGGGAGGGGGGCCGAGCGGGGGTTGACCCCGACATGAAACCAAAACTGACCCCCTGTACGAGGTCCATCACCTCCACATGGGGGTTATAAACTGTGCGGGTTTTCTTCTCTTTCGTGCAGTTACCTTGTGGGAGGGGTGAGGGTGAGGTGAGGGGGTGGGGGCGGTGCGGGTTGGGGTTGGTCAGGGGCGGCCCATTTGTTTTGCCCCTCCCAGCAGCTTCCCAAAAGCAAAAATGCCCCTCCCAGCAGCTTCCCAAAAGCAAAAATCCAAGTGGTTCTCCAAGTTTCTGCTTGCAAGGTGGAAAAAAAAAGACAGTCGATATTCGACGACCCCGCCTCCCCCTCCCACCATGTGCGACAGTCCTGGTGCTGGGGTCTGGGCCGTGTCCCAGTTTTCTTCGGAGATCCCCACTTGCCAACCCGGGTGTGGGACTCTCCCATTAGGCTTTACTGTCGGTATCTGATATGCACCTTCCTTTCACCTCCTTTGATGTGGTGGTTGCTTGGGACTCGCTTGTCGGCAAATGCCAATAGGTAGGGTCTAACTGGTTGACTTGTATATTAGCCTGTCCGCGTTGGAGGTTCATGGGGTGCTGCACTCACTGGCCAAAGCTAAGATTGCTCGGACCCTCCCTGACCCTTAAAGTCACATAAGCCTGGAAACCCAAAAGTCTTTGAACCGTGAACCACAAATTTGGCCAAACCGTAAAACACTGAATGCTTGCTAGGAATATTAAGCACCCACAGTTTGCAAAATCCCCCTTTTTTTTTTTTCTTCCTCCCGCCCACCCACCCACACCCCCCCCCGCCCCCAAATTGGATTATTTCCCGATTTATGCATGCCATCCTTGTGCAGGGGCCATGCTAACCTTCTCTGTATCGTTCCAATTTTTTAACGGATGTCCTGAAGGACACATTGTTTGCAAAATCCTAATGAAAAGAATGAGTGGTTTTCCATGCATGCTATGTGCTGAATGATTTTGTGATTTATAATCAGGTATCTTGTTGTCAAAGGTTTCCGGGATGCAAAAATGAGCATTGGTATCTTGAACTTTCTTCAGAAATTCGTCTAGATGAAGATGCTGATTTTCTAATTTTTCTCTACTTTTTTTTTTCTTTCTTCTGTAGATGGAAAGATTGGCACTTCTTAACTACACTCCTGCTGCTGCATTCCTAAACTTGTTGTGGGTGGTTGTTCTGTTTGGTGTGTGCTTATGAATTTAATTTTCAGAGGACATTGAAACAAACATAGAGAATACAGCGGGATCAACGACACAAGCTGTGAAACAGGTCGCAAAGGCATCCAAGAGCCAGCGATCATCTGATAATCGGGTGAGAAACGCAGCGCACTTGCATCTCAAGGATCTTCAGATATCTCTTGCCTTCATCAGTGGACTTCTATCTATATCTATACTGTCTATAATATAACTTATTAGGAGTATGATGTTTGTTGATGTTCCATCGTCGGTGCGCCGTGAAATGGCCTCGACGAATATCTCTTGAAGGGGCAAGTACGCAATTGTACATGAACTGAGCCATTTTACAACCAAGGCCATGCTCTAAGCCCGAGCATGGAATCAACGGGCCCTGATTCCGAAAGTTTACCCTTCTGTGTGAGGCATCTGGTTTTTACTACGGCATTTTCCCGGACATTTATGACACTACGTCCTTCACCAGAATTAGAACACTCGCCTGGTCATTATAGCTGTATTTGGGGCAATCCAGACCAGATGCGGTGATAGTGGCCGTGCGTTTTTTTTTGGGTGAAGACGGTATAGGGTGGCCTCCCTTCGTGTGTTCGCAGCCCGTAGGGTTGCGTTTATACCCTCGGGGAATTTTTGTAGTTTCGTTCTACCAGTCGTGCCTGTTAGCCCAAATTGGTCGTCAGAAGGGTGTAAAAATTGCAGGCAGGGGTTTCTAGAGGGGGCGGGCAGTGCTGACGTGCGCAGGACCAGTATTGGCCATGCTCCTGGGGAAAAAAAAAACGAAACGGCGTGCGGGCCCCCGAGGGCCTATGTTTTCTATTCGAATTTCCAAAAGAAAAACTCCTGTATTCGAATAGAACATTGCCTTTTCTTTTTTTCGAGGTTAGCGCCTGCTCCTGTGCTCTGGGCCACCAAGACGCTGCGTACTGCGGAGGATGGGCTCATGGGTATAGGGAATGGCCTTTGAGGAGGGGGCCAGGACTGAAGGAGATGGATGGTAAGGAAAGGTGGGAAAGGAGGGAAAGGAGGGAAAGGAAGTATTTGGCTTTTATGCGGGGTGGCATGTGGGTGAGGGGTGTCGTATATAGAGAATATAAGTCGGATCTGGAAGGGGTATTTTAAGGGGTAGGCACCCCCTCAAACCACCAATACATCCGAGCTTTCTTTTTGCCGAGGCAAATTCCCCTTTTTGCCGAGGCAGATTCCCCCAGCTACTAGCCAAGCTTTGCTGAAATGCCAGCACGGTGCTTTTTCTTTTCTTTTGGCGGGCGCTGGCAGCCATTTTGGTCCGGTAGCCACAAGCCTCCATAATTTCTGGGTTGGCTTGATTTGGAGTCTCAAGCTTTTGCCGCGGCGCTGTTCCGGCAGCTGAGATGAAATTTCAACCTTCATTTCTGTCAACAGCGTGTAGTCTGTAAGCTGGCACAGTTGTGCAAATGCCACTGCCGGAATGTATTGAGCGAGCTTTGTGTTCGCATGTATAGTACATGCCTGGCCCTGGATGTCCAGGTGCATTCTGACGGAGGTGGTTATACAAGTATAAGGCTAAGTACAGGGTCTTCTGGACAAGAGTCGCGTGGTCTTTTGTCAATGGTGTGCTAGAGGCCAGCCTCCACCTCTGGGCCTCAAGTTCTGTTGCTGACCAGGCAATTGCTCGCGCCCTGCCCTACTGCCATTTGTCCGCTGTTATCAGTTTGTCGCTGACTTTCATCTTTTTGACTGATATCAGTTTGGATCTCATTTCTTTCACAGGTATCAGCAGTGATGCATCCTGTGTACCTATGCGGTATGCATCACATACAAGTACAGCGAGCCTGCTGATTTACTCTATCCATTCGAGTGGCCTTTCTGCAGTATTTCTTGGTAGTGTATGTAAGAATTGCAAGTGTATGCGGCACCTAAAAAAATGTGTATGCAACTTGAATACGACTTTTTTTTGGGGGGGGAGGGGAGGGGTAGGATTTCGATTTGGCTTGGAATTTCGGAATGTCTCCCTGGTAGATGTTGTTTGTATTGGAATGCTGAGTAACCCTTTTTTTTTTTCTTTTTTTTTTTTTTAACCCGGTAGGTATGTCCGTACATGGCTGCGTACACACATTCGTACATGTATGCATGTATGTGAGGCCCCTATATGTGCATGGGTGTAAACAATTGTTATCAGTTTGACTTTTATCTCTTAGATTGTCATCAGTTGGACTGTCATCATTTTGAGTGTATGTGTGCTATTCCCATGGCTAGATTCACACCCCCTTCCTTCTTTCAGCAGGTGGGCTGACCAGTTTCTGCCGTGGTTTTGCAGGCCTGCTGCTTGATGATACTCTTGGTAGTTGTTGTGGTGATTCTTGTTCTTATTCTCAAACCGTAGGAGATCGTTGCGACAGACGTATATGCAGTTGAGATATAAGGCGGCGTGTTTGATGATTGGACTCGGACATTCGGCGTACTCCGAATTCGTGAGACGGGACAAGAGCATGACAAGTGGGGGTATATCGCTAGCACACATTACCCGAGATGCGTGCTCGTTTCAAAACTGCTATTGGGTGACAGTGCTCTTATGTGGAGGCCTATAGTACATGAGCTGGAATTGAATGTGTTGTCCGCAGTGGATGTCTCGTCGAGGATATATCTCAAATTGTCTGCGACAGGTGGACGAGCCGGGGAAGGTGTGTACAGATACAGTAGGGTGTTGTAGCGCGGGTGCAGCAAAGACGGAAGGGAAGGGAAGGGATCTGGTCCCTCTTGTCAGTTATATTCATTAGAGGCAGATGGGACTTGCTCATCGTTCTTGTATTGGGCGTGGGAGGTGGAGTGTGAGGGGAAGATGGTGTTGTCGATGTGTGCATTGTTTGCGGCTGAAAAGGTAGGGAAAGAGGGGTCGGGCTGACGGGGTTGGTGAAGTGTAGCGGACAAAGTTTTTCAAGAGAGAACGAAGAAAGACAAGTGTCAGTGCGCGCTCTTTCGCAATTGCAAGCAAGTTATTTCTTTTTCCTTTGAGGCGGTCGGCTTTGTGAAGTGATGATGGTGGTGGCGAATTGTGATGAGCGCCGGTGTGGAAAGGGTGCTTGTTGATAGTGGAGGTGTGCTGGTTGGTTGTCGTTGTCGTTGAAGGCGGTTTCGTCAAGCCTCGCTGACAGAAGTTTCTTAAAGATGGACGCAATGAAAAGCCCGTGCTTGAGGAGCCTTGCTCCTCAATTGTGAGGGTGTTTACTTGTTCCCTTTCGATTGGTTGGCAGCAAGAAGTGTGAGATAATGATGGTGATCATTATGGCTGCGGCGAGCAGCGGAGTTGAAGAACTGCCCAACAGTGGACGTAAGGGAGGAGGGGGGNGGTATACATGATCGGGGCCGCACATGGCCTTTGTTATTATTCAGCAAGTGATAGTGTGTGTTCTTCTGACTGTCTCCTGGGTTTCTATTCTTCAATAGTACTGATGCTCTGGAATCTGAGTCGCCGATGGAGTAGTAGCTCCTGCTTAGATCTCGGTGTCCTGCGTGTGCAGGGTCATGATGGGCAAATTGATGCAATTGCCTTATACGGAAAGGAGATGACACTTAACTCTCTCCTGGTCTCTCCTCTACTGAAACCTTGGGAAGCAGACGAGATCACGTAATCATTTATAAAATAGTGGACAAGATGGTCGTTGACTGTCGACCGTCAGATGGTGTTGATTTTTAATGATCGTCTGCATTTTGTCAGGATTTAGGGTTTCAGTGCACCCCGCTCGTGTGGTTCGGCATTGATTTACTTCATCATTTGGCACAGTGGAAGATGACCAGCCAAGGACCGGTGCGCCTTGTGTGAGTTAGGGTTCTTGAGTCCTAAATTTGCGATTGTCGTCCTTTGCGAACGTTCATTGGTAAAAGCTCCCATGCATTGTTGTTGGCGTCGGCCCCATTTTGGAGGCTGTCCGGTGAATCGATGTGTGTATGTACTATGTAGTATTTTCCTGCTCCGCTACTCCTTCCTTCCTCCTCTTTTCTCTAATACCGTAGTAATAGCGTAGGAATTTGATCTTGATGACATTCTGTCTCTCGCTCTCGTCCTGCCCATCTGCTGAAGCAGCTGGCCGGGTGATTGTCTCTGGGTCCTGCGGGATGCCTATCTTAGGGGAATTATCAATCATGACTTTCTTCTGTGTTCTAGCCGCAGGACGGAATGAAAATTTGTATTCAGCCTATAATTCAGGCAAATAATTTCTATTCTATTGGGGGAATTTGGGGCCAAAATATGGCCAAATAAATAATTTCATGCTATGGATATGCTTCGCTTGTCAGAGAAAGCGAGACCCTTTCTCTCAGTTCTCTGGACTCTTGTATGGTTTCTTTGGGTGTTTGCCTCTTAGAGGAGCAAGTGTGCCTCTCTCTCTCTCTCTCTCTCTCTCTCTCTCTCTCTCTCTCTCTCTCTCTCTCTCTCTCTCTCCCTCCTGGTGTCTCACTTGCAAACAGGGGGCATAATTGGTATATATTTGAACCCAGGGAATGACGGGGTATGAACTTCGCCGGCAGTGTGAATACCGGGTATGGACTCTGTTGGTAGTGTGATGCAGAGGGTGTGAACTATGTTGGCGGTGTCAATGTAAATTATGCTTTCAGTCCTTACTCGATGGTTATGTCTGTTGAAATCATTGAGTCGTACACTCGGGCATGTCAATCTCGGACATTATGGTGGTGTGGGTGGTTGTGCTTTCTTGATAAGCATCAAGGACGGAAGCAATGATTTCAACAGATAAAGTTGGCAACTGGGCCCAGTGATGGAAAGTTGGCACGGAAGTCGCCCTGCCAGAATGTGTATCTGGAGGGTCCAGACTTTACTTTACGATCTCCACGTACCCGTCTGCACCTGACCGGTACATTTGATGTGGCAATTTGGTCCTCCCTTTTTCGGTTTTTGGCCAGCGCAGGCCCGGCCGAATCTGCCCAGAAGGCCGCCCAGCAGCCCGGCCATGCAGATGCCCCAGGCTGGTCCACTGGCGGATTTTGCCCCTTTCTTCCGCTAGTCTTGTCCTTCGGGGAGGCTGTTTTTGACATTACCACAGCCTGGCGGATTTTGCCCCTTTGGCCATAGCCAGTTTCCAGACCCAGTGGCCAGCCTGGTCCACAGGGCGCAGCTCCCAGAGCTGCGACGGGGGGTTCCAAAAGTCATCTTCCGGTAGTCTTGTCATTCGGGGAGGGGCTGTTTTTGACATTACCACGGCCTGGCAGGTGCCTCAACATTTAAATGTGACAGTACCATACGATAATGAAGAGGTAGTACTGCCCAAGCGACTAAACTTGACATAAACGTAATGACTCGAGCCATTATGAAGATGAATAAGCACTACTAGGTAGAATAGGCTCTTTTATCATTAATTTCAGTTTTCAAACCATCTGCTAAAGTGTCAACGACGCTAGTGTGATTCGTAGCGCTACATTGCGAATAATTCTGTTTTGGCTCCAGAGTCTGTTCAAGTCTGTTTTCAGTCTGCTTGAGTCTGTACGTCCATTTGAGTCTGTCTGGTTCTGTTTTGAGTCTAGCTGATTCTGTTTTGAGTCTAGCTGATTCTGTTTTGAGTCTAGCTGATTCTGTTTTGAGTCTGTTTTGAACTGGAAGAAAAAATGAAAATTGGAGACGACTGTGTCCAACTCTGTTCCGAGTCAGTTTCGAGACTGTTACGGGACTGTGCGAGTCTGTTAGAGTCTTTTTTAGTGTGCGAGTCTGTGTGAGTCTGTATCTTTTGCGTCTATTTTGGTCTGCAGGTCCATTTGAGTCTCTCTGAGTCTGTTTTCAAGTTTCAACCTGTTTTGAGTGCGTTTGAGTCTGTTTCAGATCTGTTTTTAGTGTCTATTCTGAGTTTGTTTGATTCTGGTTTGGACAAAATGTGAAACCGTTCTCTATAAATGGAAATCAGCCCGGATTTGGACACAGCCAGGTGGGAGAGTGGCCCACTTGAAAAAAAAAAAGAAAGGGTTGATTATTATTGCCTGCATGGGGTGCCCTGTGCAGGTGACCCCCAGACAACACCCTCAGGGTGCACAGTAGGATGACCCAAGTATAACCTTTTTTTCTTTTCTTTTTTGGGGGGGTGGGGGGGGGGGGGGGGGGGGGGGGGGGGGGGGGGGGGGGGGGGGGGCGCCGGGGGGCCAAGTTGGTCTTTGCCTCGAAGACCACTGGTTGCACTTGCACCATGGGTTTCTGTTCCTATCATACTGGTGGCGTGCCTGTGCAAAAGGTGGGGCAGCAGACTACAACGGTTAAATAGTGAAATATCAAAAAGTCCGAAGCGAGTGGGGGGTTTGGCTTTTATGAAATTCAACGAATTAAGGTTTTTCTGGCGTTGTCCTGGTAGGTGTGGTTGCTCGCATTTTCCCTTTTTTAGAACTCTTTTGAGGCTTTTCACGACGTCAGTTTTTTGTCCCCTTTTTTGGAAAGGCATCGGCCTCGAGATACCATTGTCAAAATGATCGGCACCACGTAATTCCGGAAATTTAACTCGCCCTGATATCCGTCTGGATTTTGAGCGATGCCCATCGTAATTCGTTTTGCACAAATTTGCATTATTTTGTACGACTGAAGTGAAAGATGCAGATTACTTCTCATTGGGAACTGGAGGTGAAATGACATCTCATAACGACACACAGCCATTTCAGGTACAGATGAGTGGATGGAGTCCACCAAAATGACTGTTCACTATTCAGAATGGTGGAGTGCAGACACTGCAGAGGATCTGTAGGCAGCTTTGTTTACGGAACCAACCTGGCAATAGGGGCTGCAATGTAAAATTTAATATAACAAGCGGAAGGCGCGGCGCACGAGACGCTCATATCGCCGAGAGGTACCACATCAGTGTTCCAGGGTCAGTAGGGGCCATTTGTTCTGCAATGGGACCGGGGAGGAGTTCCGTTTGGAGAGGGTGGATGTCGCACACCAAGTGGATTGGGAAGTATACACTGGATGCGGGTTGGGCAACGCTACGATGGAGCAGATGGACTGGGTGGTATTGTGTGGATGAAACGGAGTGCGTAGGGTGGCGCCATGGGGGGCAGGTCACATACTGCGCGGGCCAGTGATACACTGTCCAGCCCAGGATTTACTATGCAGGTTGGGTGGGGCTTGCCAGTACAGTGCGGGTAGGCAGGTGATGCTACGTGGGCTGGACAAACAAAGCTCAACCTTGCGACAGGACAGAATGGCAAAAACAGCAAGTGCAGGGGGTAAAACAGAAAACGTACACACCACGACCCATTCCCAAAACTGTGCCACCCTACAACCCTTGGTCGCGGGCATTGGATACGGTGTATGTAATGTGTTTGACAAAGCGACTGATGGGATTGCCTCTGGATTGAAACTATTATCCTTGGAATTTTCTGGTACAGGTGTGCACCATGTGGGCACACTGGTGTGTGTGCGGGCCGTGGAAATCACCACGATCATTGACTTCACGTCCTTCCTCCAGTCTCTTCTCTCCACTTCACCCTCATGAACGAGGGATCCTTTTTTTTTTTTGCAAATCACCCCCTCCAGTGCTAGTGGTGCTTGGAAGAGCAGACACCACTAGCACCTGGGGAGAGGCTCCATCTATTGGTGGGGAGCATTACCTGCTGGAAAGCGGTTCAGTGTCTCATATAGACCACCAGGTTATCCAAATATTCTTTGCTTGATCTGAGTTTTGGTTGGCCCTGTTCCGCAGAGCTTCAGGCCTCAGCCACAAGAGCCAGAACTTTTGTTTCATAATGGACTTTTTATTTTCGCTCGGACAGCACAGGCTGGCGCAATGGACTCTTGCCGTAGTTATTTGCACTCTGACGGCGGAGGCTGCCGCACTCAGTCGTCTTGGAGGAGCTGTAGTTATTTGCACTCTGACGGCGGAGGCTGCCACCAGCAGTCTTCTTGCAGAGGAGCCCCTAGCTTTCAGTTCTTGACCTGTGGGCTGATATTCGTGTTCGATTATGTAGCAGGCTAGCAGCTGCAGATGTCACGATGGCATTGCTGACGAAGAGGTCTGCCGTCTAGCTTTAAACCGCCAGTACAGGGGCACCTGGGCCGCAGGTGTGACACCTCGAATTCTGGAGGTGCGAAACGGAAATGAGGTCGACGATCGAATTTATCAACGGTGGGCCCAGCGTTTGACGTTTCGGCCTCGTTTTCTTGTGGCGACAAGTTTCGGATTGCAAGGCTGGGGCCGCGTACTTGTGGTTTAAACCAACGGTACTTGGCCCAGCTATTGGCCATGGAGAAAATAGAGTAGAAACAATTCTAGTCGGGTGACTTTGGGCGCCCCTGTAGAGGCGCGTATACGTTTCCTAAAATTGTGGCTTGTTAACGGGAACGACTTTAGGAAGTACTGGTCGTTTAACTACCACTGCCCACGCACGACACCTTGAAACTGCACATTCGAGTTCCTGTGGCTGGCAGCCGGGCGGAGCGGGGTACCAGCCAGAGGCAGGTGGTCAGCGGCTTTTGTTGCCAACTTTTGTGGTTTTCCATGCTCATAATTTTTTTTGAGAAAATCTTAAAACAATCAGGGGCATACATTTGGATCTTTGGGTGTTAATGTATCTTGGGGGGAGGAGGGGGGGGGCAGGATCTTATTAGATACAGGAAACAAAATCTGCATGGCCAACACATCTGGTGGCAAAAGAACACTTTCTATGGCTCCGCGCTGCTCTCAGTAGGTCTGGCTCTTTTTTGTTTCGGTTCTTCTGGCTCGGTAAAAAGGTGTCAGCACTGTCAGGTTGTTGAATCAACTTCAGGGGCAGCAGTGTTTTAAAGTTTTCACGATCCGCTAAGGCGTGCTGTGCTGTGTGTATCAGAAAAAAACCTTGACCATTCGTGGCGACAGATAGATGGGTTGAAGTCCTCCAGGCAGATCCGGTACAGGTAACTCGCTCCCTGCTTTGTTGTTGGCAGCAGCTTTTTTTTTTTTTTTTTTTCTGTTGTTGTTGGCAGCAGCTGGTGTTAACGCCTCGCCAAAGGCTGGTGGTTACGCTGTGGCTCCTATCTCTGTTGGCCATGCCGTCGGCGACCTGGCTAACGGAGAGAGGGATGTTAGTGGACACAACAGGCAGAAGGTGTCGATGGCGTACGAGTCAATTGTCCACCTATGGTGGGACTGTCCGGCTTCAGCCAGGATCTGGAGATGGTGGGCAAAACAATGGAAACAACTCTCAGATGGTGCCTTTCCATGGGACAAGACAT